ATATATATATATATATATATATATATATATATATATATATATATATATATATATATATATATATATATATATATATATATATATATATATATATATATATATATATATATAGACATTTAGCAATATTTTAAATATGTTGCATGTATGACATGTATTTTTTATCTGTGAGATCTAAACAATCCTTTGTGAGTCATTTGTCGTGTATTTTCCATGTCAGATTGCTAACTTACCCCGCTAAAAGTAACTACCAACCAAGTAAACCAACAAACCGTTAAAAGTATTAATTAGCCACCTCACCAACTAGCTCGTTAACAACCTAACCAATTAAAAGTAAGTAGCTAACGTGATGCTGATGTATCTAAACTTGCTAGTTAGCTAGTCAGATTTACCATTCTAAAGCTGCGGTCACACTGGGCTTTTTCTCCCATTGACTTCCATTCATGCATACGCGAATGCAGACCGGAAACTTTCAAGTCGTTCAAGCTTAGCTAATAGCTGCTAAAGTGCTAGCCAATTAAATAATTAACTAGATAGTTAATTTGTTAACCAACATTATTGTGTTCAACGTAATCTCCCAAACATGCTAGTATCCAACCAACTAGTTAACTAAACAGCAGTCGTATCTCGATATACTTTCTGATTGACATACAGTACATAGCATAGCTCATTGTTTTATAGGTTATTATGCCCAAGTGGATGAATAGAAAACAAACACATCACTGTAAAGTCCCTAAACACCAATACATGTCAAATATAAATGGACTGCTATGGAGCTGCTAATGCTAACTGGCAGTTGTGTTACTTTTAGTCAAACAAGTCTTTCGAGTCTTTCAAGCTTAGCTATAAATAACTAGCAACAAACTTATGATAGCTTTGAATATCACATAAGCTTATTTAAATGAGACAGACCTTTATATCCTGATGCCATGTTGTACATTTGTTGCCGTTTGTTTTGCTGATTAGTTTTTTCTGCCCGTGTCTTTGTGGACATTGACACGCTTCCTCATGCCATAAAAACTGTCAGCGTCACCCAGTGCCAGCATTTTGACGTCTGAAAGCGAATAATGGACTAAACTACTGTATATAAAAGGCTACGCTGTGACTTGCACATGATACATTTACTGAGTCTTATGGTCTGAATGTTCATCAGTGATCCATCGTGTTAGCTGTGGTTATGATGACTGAATAGGTCTCTGACTGGAAACAAACTGAAAGCATGCAGGAGAGTAAACAGTGTGATCACGTGACTCCACCTGTATACAAATCTAGTCTTGTTATTTCGGTTTCCGCAGTGGTGGTGGATTTAGCTGTATAGTTACTCATAATTTTAAAGTATGTTTGTGTCTTGCATATATCTGACATCCAATAAAACAAACATACAAAACAACAGAGCAATACTAGTCTACTCGACATGCTTGTTAATAAAAATAGCAACAAATATCATTCATTCATTAATTTTCTGCCGCTTTTCCGGGGCTGAGTCACGGGGGCAGCAGTCTTAGGAGAGAACCCCGGACTTCCCTCTCCCCAGACACTTCCTCCAGCTCCTCCAGGGGGATCCCGAGGTGTTCCCAGGCCAGCCGAGAGACATAGTCCCTCCAGCGTGTCCTGGATCTTCCCCAAAGCCTCCTTTGAAAACATGCCTGGTACACCTCCCTAGGTAGGCTTCCAGGAGGCATCTAAAACAGATGCCTGAGCCACCTCAACTGACTTCTCTTGATGTGGAGGAGCAGCGGCTCTACTCCGAGCTCCACAACCACAAGTACCACAACAGAACAGTTTGTAGTTATTGTGTTACCACAGCAACTGTAGACTCACTACAACAAATCAGTTAATATAGTTATTATGTTACCATAGCAACTGCAGAATTACCACAACAGATAATTTGTTAAAGTTGCGGTTACCATAGCAACTGTAGAACCATCATGACAGATCAGTTATTATAGTGCCTGTGTTACTATAGCAACTGTAGAACCATCATGACGGATCAGTTATTATAGTGGCTGTGTTACCACAGCAACAGTAGAATCACCACAGCAGATCAGTTAATATAGTACCTGTGTTACTATAGCAACTGTAGAATCACCACAACAGATCAGTTATTATAGTGCCTGTGTTACTATAGCAACTGTAGAATCACCACAACAGATCAGTTATTATAGTGCCTGTGTTACTATAGCAACTGTAGAATCACCACAACAGATCAGTTATTATAGTGCCTGTGTTACTATAGCAACTGTAGAATCACCACAATAGATCAGTTATTATAATGCCTGTGTTACTATAGCAACTGTAGAATCACCACAATAGATCAGTTATTATAGTGCCTGTGTTACTATAGCAACTGTAGAATCACCACAATAGATCAGTTATTATAATGCCTGTGTTACTATAGCAACTGTAGAATCACCACAACAGATCAGTTATTATAGTGCCTGTGTTACTATAGCAACTGTAGAATCATCATGACTGATCAGTAATTATAGTGCCTGTGTTACTATAGCAACTGTAGAATCAGCACAATAGATCAGTTATTATAGTGCCTGTGTTACTTTACTATGGAATGGTTGAAAAACACTACAGATAAATAAAATAGTGGTACAGATTCTGTAAATGTGATTAGAGAGGTTGTGTAAACATCAGTGAGTATAGCTCTAGATCTGCAAATAAACAAATTTGCTTGTCTGTGTGAGTAGAAATGTGTTTTTTTAGTGAATATGTATGTATTCGCATGTGTGTGTGCGTGTGTGTGTGTGTGTGTGTGTGTGTGTGTGTAGGCGCTTGCATAAGTGCATGCCGTGGATCTGTGTTAATGTGTGTGTTCACATAATTATGAGATGATATTGTCCGCCGCTCAGATGCTGATTTACTCCCACATGTAAGAACAAAGAGAAAGTGTGTTTCTACAAACACAGATGAACGTCAGACAGCATTCACACTCACACAGACAGACACTCCTCGCACACTGTAAGTACTGCACTTCTTTAACTTCATTAGTTTGAGTTCAGACAGAACGTATTTTTATTGTTTATTTTTTTATTGTGAAGAAAAAACAGTTTGTTAATATGAATTAGACGAATGTGAACTTCATTAGTGTAAAATGCTGGGTTGTTTTAACCAAAAACTGCGTCAAAACCCCAACAATTGAGTTAAAAAATTTATTATTAATATAATTGAAAACATTTTTACGACATTTAATTTAAGAAAGCATGATTACTGCTCTTTGTGCGTGAATGCATCAACTATTATTAAGTAAGGATTTTATCCAGATCAGTGGTAGTTTTGTAATTGTCTGTAAAAAATTCAAAAAGCATAATTGTCATTCTATTTATAAAAAAGATTCTTATATTACATGAAAATATTTACAGCATTCATTCATTCATTCATTTTCTTTTTGGCTTATGGCGAAGTTCAGACTGCATGATTTTAGCCCCGATTTTGACTCACCGACACGTTTTGAGAAATCACCGACAAATGCCTGAAATCACAGGCAAATCTGTGCTCGTGCACGTGACAATCACACAGTATGAACTATCAAAGACGCGATCTAAGAGAATCGCCGATTGCCTGTGAGATATTTGGCGTGCTGAATATCTGGAGCTGTCGGCGATTCAAATCATGTTGTGTGAAATAAGTTTTGACTGAAAATAACATTACCGATCACCTACAACCAATGAGAAAGCAGCATTCACTAGCCTAGTGTGTGTGTGTACCTGCAAGCCAGCGGGAGGTTGGGGGAGAAGTAAAAGCGTGCATTTTCGGTTTATTTGGACCCACGAAATGGAGGAAAAGCTAGTGGAGGTTTGACAGGACTCAGGAGCACCCGTGTCTGTTTAACGCATCATACAGAAAGTTAAAAAAGAAAATTGAGGAGAAATTGCTAATTCTTTTCAAACCCAGGTGAGCAAATATCTACATTTTCTACACCATTAAAGGCTTCTTTATAGTTATGTAGTTAATAACAAAAGATAAACTACGTGTTTTTGGCTGTGAGACGTAGTTTGGACAAAGTTGTCGGCGATTCTTCCTATTGTAAAGTCATGCAATGTGAAACCCCCTGTAGGCGATCCATCCTGCAGTGTAAACAAAGCAGCTACAAAATGCTAGCCCAGATAGTCATGCAGTGTGAAAACATCTGTGACACGACTACTCTGAAAATCATGCAGTCTGAACTCGACCTTAGTCCCTTTATTAATCATGAAGGTACATGTTTCGTCTATAAAAAAACAAACATTACATCTCTTCCAGAGTGACAGTATCCTCTGTTCACCATGGCAAACACAGGCCTGCAGGTGATGGGTGTGGTTCTGGGCGTGTCCGGCTGGGTGTTCGGGATCGTGGTCTGCATCGCCCCCTGGTGGCGCACGTCTGCATTCGTGGGCGATGAGCTGGTGGTGTCGCAGGTGCTGTGGGAGGGGCTCTGGATGTCCTGTCTGTCGGAGCGGGGTCGCCTGCAGTGTAAAATCTACGATTCGGGACTGGCGCTGTCAGGATCCATGCAGACGTGCCGCGCGCTGTGCGTTTTGTCTCTGCTGCTGTGTGTGTTGGCGCTACCGCTCTGCATCACTGGCCTCAAGTGCACACACTGTCTGGGTGAGGCGCGGGATCCCAAGGCTCGACTGGTGCGGGTCGGCGCTGTGTTATTTGTGGCTGCCTCGTTTTTATTCCTGCTGCCGGTGTGCTGGAACGCGTATGTCGTAATTAGTACTTTCTACGACCCGAATGTGCCTCCAGTGCTGAAGCGAGAGCTCGGCCCCGCCCTATACCTAGGCTGGGTGGTGGCGCTGCTCATGCTGGTGGGCGGAGCTCTGATGTATTTAGGCTCCACCTCACCTGGAGCTCCGCTCATGCCTGTTTTTGGAAGAGGCGGAAAAGTGAATCCTCCATCCACAGCAGAGAGCAAACCGGAGAAGGTGTTTGTGTGAGAAGACGTCAATTAATGGGCCATCTAAAAGCTTTGATCTGCATAATCATGTCAGGGTGTGTGTGTTTCCTTTGGGGAGCATGAACTTTGAAACAAT